TGTTCCAGGCCAGGTTGGATGGGGCTTGGAGCAACCTGGGCTAGTGGAAGGTGTCCCTGCCCATGGCAGGGTGTGGAACAAGATGAGCTTTAATGCCCTTCCAAACCAAACCATTCTGGAGTTCCATGACCAGCATCAGTGAAGATGCAGATCAGACTCCAAGGATGAGTCCTGTGAGCACCTCTCCCCTAAAGGAGAGCTCTGACCTTCCCAGCCAGGACAAACACCTGGCTAAGAAGGAAATGAAATAACTTCAACAAGCATAAGATGGAAACCTGTTTGAAATGCTCAGAACATGAGCCCAGGTGGCCAAGAAGGCCAAAGGCATTGGCTTGGCTTGTACCAGCCACACTGTGGGCACAGCTCCAGGGCAGTGCCTGTCCCCTGTGTGGGCACTGCTGAGGCACCTCCAATGCTGGGGGCAGTTCTGGGCCACTCATGACAAGACACTGAGGGATTGAGAGTGCCCAGGGAAGGGAATGGCGCTGCGGAAGGGGCTGGAGCACAAGGAGAGGCAGAGTGAGCTGTGGGGGTGGCTTGTACCAGCCACACTGTGGGCACAGCTCCAGGGCAGTGCCTGTCCCCTGTGTGGGCACTGCTGAGGCACCTCCAATGCTGGGGGCAGTTCTGGGCCACTCATGACAAGACACTGAGGGATTGAGAGTGCCCAGGGAAGGGAATGGCGCTGCGGAAGGGGCTGGAGCACAAGGAGAGGCAGAGTGAGCTGTGGGGGCTCAGCCTGGAGAACAGAAGGCTCAGGGAGGACCTTCTCACTCTGTACAAATAGCAAAAGGGAAGGTTTAGGTTGGATATTAGGGAAAATTTGTTCATGGAAAGGGCTGTCCAGCCCTGGCACAGCTGCCCAGGGCAGTGGTGGAGTCGCCATCCCTGGACACCTGTAGATTCCTGTTAAACGCAACCATGGCAAACAGATCTGGGAATGAATTTGCAAGTGAACAGCTTGAAGAGAGCTCTAAGGACAGCAGCCCTCGGGTGGGACAATGTGCTCCTAGGGCAGAGTCACACAGTTCCTTAATAATGACCAAATTCCTTGTACCTGACACAAGTTCTTCCTTGAATTCCTTACAGAAGAGTATAAAGAAGTTGTTTTAAATTGTTCCAACTGTTATGCTCCGTATTAACATGATATTTGGGGGTTCTTTATGAGGCAGAATGATCAGAGCAGGAGTGAACACCAATACTGCTGAGAACTGACTAAGCTGAAATGGGATATAACACAGCAGCTTGTGTGCAATAGAGGGAAAAGGCTCAAACTCACCTTCCAAAGGCATTAAATAAGGCCACAATTTCTTGTCTGGTCAGCTGGAATCCATATGAAGGGCCACTCTCAGGGATTCTTTCGATGAGGTTCTCAGAGAAGAGGATCTTCAGAGCTGTGCCCAAGCCCTGAGTCTGTGCAGGGATCAAACAGAAGCACTTAAAAACAGGGGCACATCCAGGGCCTGATTCCAAGCTGAACTTTACTTCCCTCCAGCTTTGCAACAGCATCTTAACAAAGCAAGGCCTGGATGTCACTTATCCCAGGCCAGAGGCTCTGCACCCTCTCTTCTCCCTTGGGGAGCAGCAGGTTTCCCCAATTTCCAGCTGCAAATCCCAGAGGCAGCTGCTGCCAGGCCCAGGGAGCTGGAATGAGCACACTGCTCCTGCTGCCTGGATAGGTAAGGAATCAAGCAGCCCTGTGCGGTATCTAGGAGCTGACTGGTATCCAAGAACCACATCCACACGAGTCCCATCACCAGGTGCTTCCAGACACACATCCTCCTCTGCTTACCTGCAGCTTCCCCCACAGCCGACACTTGAAGCAGCCAACACAGTCCATTATCTTGGAAATGTTCTTAAAGTGCAGCCTAAATTCCTCCTGAGGGAAAAGACATTCATGGTGATCATGGTTAGGCACTAATTAGGGCTTCTTCCATGGATTAATCCCAATTAATCCTCAGCTTCAGTAGGGCTGAGCTAGGGAAGAGCCTCCTCAAGTGATGTCCTGGGCAGCAATTACCTTTAACTTTGCAGCTTCCTTTTTATTCCCTGCAAAGAAGGAGTTTTCATCAAAATGCAGTGGGAAAGACCTGGAAGAGAAGGAAAAGAGTTTGATTTCTGCCCAGGCTGTTGGTCTGGCTGCAGTCCAGCTGCACAGCAGGACCTGCTTAGGTGTGGGGATGGAACAGAGAGGTGTGAGCCACTGGGCACCTCCAGATGTGTCTTCATCTTAGATCCAGCCCCAGTGGGGATTGGAATGAGGTGACCTTTCAGGTTCTTTCCAACCCAACCATCCTGTGATTCTCTTATCCCTTTCAATTGTATCTAGAATCATAAAATCATAGAATTTTAGGGGTTGGAATGGAGCTTAGAGATCACGCAGTGCCAACTCCCTGCCCTGGGCAGGGACACCTCCCACCAGAGCAGGTTGCTCAAGGCTCATCCAACCTGGCTTTGAACACTGCCAGGGCTGGTGCAGCCACAGCCTCCCTGAGCAACCTGTGCCAGTGTCTCACCACCCTCACAGGGAAAACTTCTGCCTGATACCTAATCTAAATTTCCCTCTTGCAATTTCTCCCCGTTGCTCCTTGTCCTGTCACTGCAGTTCCTAACCAAGAGTCCCTCTGCAGCTTCCCTGGAGCCCCTTCAGCTCCTGACAGGTTGCTCTGAGGTCTCCACACAACCTTCTCTTCTCCAGGCTGAACAGCTCCCACTCTCTCAGCCTGTCCTTGTAGGAAGGTGCTCCAGTGCTCTGATCAGCTTTGTGGCCTCCTCTGGACTTGCTCCAACAGTTCCATGTTAGTTCCCAGGTGAGATTCCATGAATCTCATGAATCTCACCTGGGAGACATTTTCAGCAATTCCTTGATGGTTTTTAAGCAATTTCAGCCTGTTTTCTAACAGACACAAGCACAGGAGTGTGACAAGATAAATACGGATCACAGTAGGAGACACTCATTTCATTCTGGTTCTGGTATCTTCTGTGACTCTTCCTCTAAGCTCCATCCAACAGCCCAAAACCTCTGTTAGCAACATATTTAGGATGTTCTTCTAGACCTGGTATCCCACAGCTGAGTCACACAGGTGCCAATTTTAGGGCTAACACGTAGGCAGGAGTTATTAAATCCACGAAGGCAGCCTGGGCCATTAAATTCTGGGGCTAATTACTCAAGCCTTGCAATTTGCATACAGATTTTAATGTTCTCTCAGCAAAGCTACACCACTGCTACCTGCCCCTCTGAAGGGGGTTAGATTAGATGACATTTACAAGGTCTTTTCCAACCCAGATTCTATGATTCTATGATTCCACTGCATGAATCACCAGAGGAAGGAACCCAGAACCTTTCTAGGAGCCTTAAGTGAGAGGTTAAGCTCAGAGATGGCAGAGCCACTGTCTCCAGGTATAATTACTTGGCCAGGTGGAGAATTTCCAGCAAGAGGTGTTTCATCTCTGCATCCTGATGTTCATTCCCGGTGTACAGCTGGAATCCTGGGCGCTCAAAGAAGGGAAGCACTTTGGAGAGAGCTCTCAGCTCGATCAGGTAGAGAAAATAGAGGTTCTTGAGTCTTCTGGGACCTTCCCCTCTAGTGATGACTTCATCAAACCTCTGCTGAAACTCTGTGATGTTGGGGCCCCATTTCTTCTCTGACCATGTGTCTGAGAGAGGAAAGAAACCCCAAAGGCATGAGGTGAGTGGGTAGAGTTCTGCTTCATCTCCTCCCTCCAGCCCAGGCTAAATGGTGAAATGTGACTCCAACCAGAGAGATCCAAGTTTCCCCAAGTTCATAGACCCAAATTCATAGAATCACTTACGTTGGAAAAGACCTTTGAGATCATTGAGTCCAACCTGTGACCTGTCACCACCTTGTCAACTAGACCAGAGCACTGACTGCCACATCCACTCCCAAGGGTGCCAAGTGCTCAAGAAGGTCTTGGAAAGGGTCAGGATGTCGTGGCGACATTTCACAGAATCATTTAGGTTGGAAAAGATCTCCGAGATCATCGAGTCCAACCTGTGACCCATCACCACCTTGTCAGCTAGAGCAGAACACTCAGTGCCACATCTAGTCCTTCCTTGAACACCTCCAGGGATGGTGACTCCACCACTGCCCTGGGCAGCCTCTTCCAATGCCTGACAACCCTTCTCATGAAAAAATGCCTCCTGAAAATTGTTCAAGAGACAGGATTTTAGCCCAGCTCAAGCCTTAATGAACACACAACTCCTACAGACCTTTCTCAGGTGGTTCCTCAGGTTTCCTAATGAACTGGAACACCTTAAGGGAATTCCTGATGATGCAGAAAAGCAAGGGAACAAAAGCAGCTAAGGACTGGAGGAGATTTGCCCCTGTTTTCCATTTTCAAGCTCACAAAGAAAGTATTTCTGTGGCTCATCCTACTATTTATTTAAGACTATATAAAGGCTGTAGTGGAAGATGTAATAGTCATATCAAGCTGATCTTGCAATCCCAGCTCATCTCTTGCCTTCGATGCTTCCCTTGTTATCCCAACTCCAAGGTGGTCTAACTCACATTGAAGTGAGGCCTGTGTGGGCTGTAGAGACTTAAATATAGTTGTTTAGTTAAATATAAGTGATTTACCCCAATTCCCACAGCTATTGCCTTGATTGTCAACCCCAGGGTTGAAATTTAGATTCCTCAGGCAGCTCCTTATGGAACAAAGCATGGAAAGGAAATGGAAATGGCAGGTGGAAGTGGATTGAGAGAGTTGGGAAAGCCCAGCCAAGGATTTCATAGTCTAGGTGAGTTTATTGCTCAACTCAAAGACAAGCCAGGAAGGAACAGCCTTGACACACAGTTAGACACTCACTCCCAAACAACCTTGGAGGAAGAACAGAAGGAATACGTGCTGGAAGACATGGTACAGAGCACAGCACAGCCACTCTCAGACCTGAAGGCATGTGGCAACTGCATTCCTGACCCTATTACACAACCTGCGTGCTAAGGGAAGAGCATGGAGTAGACCTGAATCCTGCTGGAACAGGCTCTAACCAGCATTTAGTGGAGCCATGGAAGTGTCAGTGTGGACCTGAGGCAGGAAGAAGCACTTACCTTGTAGGAGGTACCTAGCACTCAGGTGGATGTTGATGCTGGCATGGAGGCCAGAAATGAGTCTATAGAAAGCTCTTTTCTCCACACAGACACCTGCAAAGAAATGAGCACCTTAACCCACTGGAAGTATCCACTGGATTCTCCTCTCCTGGTTAAGAGGCAGAAATCTAATCCCTCAGTGTGGCTACCAATCCCACCCACTCCCTGGCCATTCTGTGTCCATCCCAGGAAGAACAACCACATGCAGAGCAAGGATTACCTTTCAGCCACTTGTAAAACATGTGCCCTGGAAACAAAGGAAAGCACACGTCAGTGAGGGAACAGCCCAAGCCTGATGCCCTGAAACCACCTCCAGGGCCAATCCCAGAGGATCTCTGACCACTCCAGTTTGCAGAAACAGGGAAAAGAGCATTAAAAGAGCTGACTGATGTTTCTGTAACACAGCATGGCAGCAGCTCAAAACAGCACATGGGTTTTCCCCAAGGGCTATGTGGGGGCAGAACAGCAGAGTGTTGGGAAAAACAAGGATCATAGATTGCTTTGCTCTTCTGGACAGAGTGGGGAGAGGGATGTTTTTATAAAACAAACAAAGCAAGCAACCAAAAAAGCCACGGAGGGCTGCTGAGTGTGGATAATCCCACAAGTCAGGGTGTCACACTGTCCCTGCTCCATGCTTGGGAGGAATGTGGAGAGCATGAAATCATTCGGAGGCAAAGAGACATGGCATGTACACTGGCACAGTGGAGAGCTCCAGGGCACAGCCCTTCCCACATGTGAGCCCTTAAGGGTTTGGGCACTCAGCTCCTACCAGATGACAGAGGCTGTTGGGATTATGAGTCTTCGCAGATCTGTCTCAGCAATAAAAAGCACTGAAAAAACCCACACAAGTCCTGTTCCTTCCTGAAGGCTTCCCACACCTCAGTGCCTGCCTTCAAACAATATTTGTGCTCTTAGAACACTGCTGGTGGGCTTTTTGAGACCTTCACATGAGGGTGGGATGGCACAGGGAGCTCAGAGGGATCTCTGCACAGAGACATCTTCTCTCTGGGGACCAGCAGTAGGACATGAGGGAATGGCTGGAGCTGTGTCAGGAGAGAGTTAGGTTGGATATTAGGATAAGGTCCTTCCCCCAGAGGGTGTTTGGGCGCTGGAACAGCTCCCCAGGGCAGTGCTCACAGCCCTAAGCCTGGCAGAGCTCAAGGAGTGTTTGGTTTGGGCAATCAGACACAGGGGGCATTGTTGGGGTGTCCTGGGCAGGATTTGGATCAATGATCTTTCTGGGTCCTTCCAGCTCAGGATATTCTATGACCCTGTGTTCCCTGTGTCTCCAGCTCATGAGGTACAACAAGCTCAAATTTGGATCAATGATCTTTCTGGGTCCTTCCAGCTCAGGATATTCTATGACCCTGTGTTCCCTGTGTCTCCAGCTCATGAGGTACAACAAGCTCAAACCAGCTCCCAGGGCTGCTCAGGAGACATATCTGGGCATGGGCTGTGCTTTGTCCTTCCCCAGGCCCTGGATCCCCAGCCCCAGGGAGCTGTGGAGGAGCTGAAATCCCCAGCTCCATCCTCAGAGCTTCCCATATTCCCTTGCACAGGTTTATCCGTGCAGCCTTGAGCTGGAGCACACACTGCCTCTGCCTGCAGCTCCAGCCCCCACAGCATGTTTTGGGGGCTCAGGGTGGAGACCAGCATGGCATGAAGCTGTGTCAGGGGAGGATTAGGTTGGATATTAGGACAAGGTTCTTCTCCCAGAGGGTGTTTGGGCACAGCTCCCCAGGGCAGTGCTCACAGCCCCAAGCCTGACAGAGCTCCAGGAGTGTTTGGCCAATGCTCTCAGGCACAGGGTGCATTGTTGGGGTGTCTGTGCAGGGCAGGAGTTGCACTGACAATCCCTGTGGTATTCCAGCTCATGGAATTTCCATGATTCTAATTTCAGGTTTGCCTGAATAATGACTGTGATAACCAGGCACAGTATCTAATGGCACAGCTCAGGACAGCACATAAAGACACCACATTTGTTTCTGTTATCAGCAAAAATAAACAGAGCAACTCACCTCCATCGTCTCCTGATGGAAAAAAAGCACAAGTGGTGCAGAGAGAGAGACAGAAAAAAAGAAGATAAAATATTACACATGACCAAAATTAAACTCCAAAGCACAAGCACTGCTCTGTTAATCTGCTCTGACAGGAGAATGAGCCTCTCCAGGGAGGCTTAGAAACGTTCTGAGCATAGCAAACCCCAAGTGCAGCAGGGAAGACATCGGATGGGGAACAGTGCTGAGTAACCTGACCAAGGCAGGAGGGATCAATACTTGCAAAGGAAGTAAAACCTGATATTTCCAAGGACATTGCACATTTCCTTCAGCAGTGCTGCTCCTCAAGAGCCAATCCTTTGCACCAGCAGCAAAGGAGGTGGGAAATACCTACAGAGTTTAGGGAAAAGTCATGGTACTGCTGGGAGTGATGTTCAGGTCACTGAAGGCGGAGAGAGGGTGATGGTGCTCTTATGCTTCCAAACCCCTTCCCTACTTCCTTTGCATTGTTCAGCCTTGGCTCTAGGGTGGTTTCCATGGAGGATCCCAGCCAGGTTCTCATTTTAGACCATCACAGATGGTTTGGCATTGCCAAGCACAGAAGGCAGGGAGAGCCCAGGGTTCAGCCCTGCTCCCTGTCCCTCCAAACCTCCTGTTTCTTCCAAGAGTGGAGGATCAGCCACTCTTTCTAGAAAGCACCACTTCCAGGTGCCCTAAAATTCTACATTTGAGCTACAAGACAGGAGAAGCAGCTCAGAGAGCATTTACCACTCCCGGAGCTGAGATCAGCTCACTACAAACCCACCTAGAGAGATAAATAAATGACTCACCTCTACCAGATGCCAAAGGTCTTTTTACATTCTGAGGCCTAAGAGGGGAAAAATATTATGTAAATAAGTTAGTGACTCCTTGCTGTGCAGAAACAGAGCAGAGAGAAGTTACTGCTGCAGTCAAACAGCATGAGGGGATCTAAGAACCCCTTTAGTGCTTTAGCTTTGTTCAGGCAGGGAAAGGACAGAGCAAAATGTGGATTTTTCTGGGGTTTGGGATGGGGTTTTCTTCTTTATTTATTAAAAATAGGCAGGAAAACTTTGCTTTGGTGCAACATGATCCACTCAGGGGGCAACCACACACTTGCCCCTCCCCTAACAGCCCAACAGGCTCTGCAGCACAGACAGGAGGATGGGGATGGATTTCTGCCCCTCTGCAGGAATCAGCACCTTCAGGTTCACGGAATTTGTCTCCCCAAGCACCTACTTGAAGCAGTTTTCTTCATAAATACTGTTCCAAATCTTCCAGGCATCTGGGCCCTTGTAGCCAGTATAACGTTCTGGATTCAGGAGCAAATCCACATACTCTGCCTCAGGAGAATGGATGTCTGTGGAGCAGAGTGTTGGGTCAGTGACAGGAAACGTCTGAAGGAAAATCACATTTTCCAAGGCTGATCCAGCCACCTCTTCCCGATGTTGCTAAACACAGCAAGGCTTGAGCACCAAGGAAGCTTTGTCAGATGTATTTGGGGCTCAGTTTCAAAGTACTGAGGGCAAAGAGGGTGGAAAAGAGAAGAAATGCTATTTATGGTCCAGGCTTGATGAAATATTATATGTTGGACTGGAAGTTGGGATTGTTCAGCCTGGAGAAGAGAAAGTTGTGTGGAGACCTCAGAGCAACCTGCCAGGAGCTGAAGGGGCTCCAGGGAAGCTGCAGAGGGACTCTTGGGTAGGAAATGTAGTGACAGAACAAGGGGGAATGGGTTCACACTGCCAGAGGGCAGGGCTAGGTGGGATATTGGGAAGGAATTCCTGGCTGTGAGGGTGGTGAGACACTGGCACAGGCTGCCCAGAGCAGCTGTGGCTGCTCCATCCCTGGGAGTGCTCCTGGGAGTGCTCCAGGTTGGATGGGGCTTGGAGCAACCTGGGCTGGTGGAAGGTGGTGGAACTAGGCGATCTTTAAGTTCCCTTCCAACCCAACCCGTTCCATGACTCTAAGTTCTGCAGAGGTGCTTAAATCCCATTCCAAGCCAAAATCCTCATACCATCAGCCTCACAGAAGCTGTCTGAAGAGTCATCGTGCCGTGCCCACTGCAGCACTGCCTCTCGGGTCTCCTTGCTACCAAAAATATGGGAAAAGGCTATCAGAGAGAGCACTGACACAGGTTTCCTTCAGGGAAAGGAAGGATTATAGAAAAAGAAGTCAAACCTCAAAGAGTCATCAACTGCTCCAAGTCTCTTGGCTTCTTCACATTCTTCATCGAGGTTGTTGGCCTCTTCTGAGTACTAGGTTGGAAGCAAAGGGGTGGGGAGGGATGAGTATTAAAAAGGCATTTTTTTTGCTGTTATAATTCTGCCTTTCATGCACTAACCAGGTTAAGCATCAGCAGCACTTTTATGATTCACCCCACCCTGTGTTTCCACAGGATGTCTGCAGATATCCAGAGGCTTATGCAATTCTGGGGAATCTTGCAGGGACTCAGAGAAGCCTCTGGCACTGCTCTGGGAGCATTTTGTGCCTGATGGGATCTGGTCTTGGAGAGATGGCAGGAATACCTGACTCCAGGACAGGCATCTCAGCATCCCAAACACTTGAAGAGGGTCAAAATTTAGCCACAAAGAACATCCAGACAAATACTGACTCCTCCCAAGGGGAACCCTGTGTGGGCACTGCTGAGGCACCTCCGATCCTGGGGGCAGTTCTGGGCCACTCAGGACAAGACATTGAGGGGCTGGAGCATGTCCAGGGAAGGGAATGGAGCTGGGGAAGGGGCTGGAGCACAAGGAGTAGCTGAGGGAGCTGTAGGGACTCAGCCTGGAGAAAAGGAGGCTCAAGGAGGACCTTATGGCTCTCTACAACTCCCTGACAGGAGGTACAGCCAAGTGAGGTCAGGCTCTGCTCCTAGGGAACAAGGGACAGGGTGGGAGGGAACAGCCTCAAGTTGCTCCAGGAGAGATTTAGATTGGATAATAGGGACAATTTATTGATGGAAAGGGTTATCCAGCCCTGGAAGGTGGCAGTCACCAGCCCTGGAAGTATTCAAACCATGTGGATGTGGCACTTGGGGACATGGTTCAATGGTGAACACGATGCTGGCACTGGGTTGACAGTTGGATTCAGTGATCCTAAAGGTCTTTTCAACCTTAACAGTTCCATGACTGTATGACACAAAACTGACCTATAAACCATGTCACTTTATGCCCAGAGACACACCTACCTTGTAACTTGCAGATCTGATTCCATCAGGCACTTCATCCTGGAAGACAAAAGCATGTAAGCACGGAAAGACATGGAGTATGTGGCACACGAGGCTGATGAGGCATCTTAGTCTGATCTTTGGGAAGACTAGGAAGGTTACCATACACAGTCTCTAGAAGTGAGAAGGTGATCAGAGCACTCAGCCCAGCTGAGCCAAACTCCTCACTCCTCCACAGACTGAGGTGAAGCAACATTCCTAGGGGTTTGTTTTGATTTTGCACAAGATTCCTCTTCTCCACAGCTCAGCAGCTTTCCAGGGCTGCTACATCAGGCTCTGCTTTGCCTATCCAAGCATGAGGCTGGGAAAGCCAAGATAAACTCCAGAGGGGCTGGATTTGCCTCTGCTCAGCTGATGCCTGGCATCATCCTCCTGGCAGGAGCCCAAGTGCCTCCTTGGATATTACACCTGACACACATCATTCCCAAACTTCCCTCTCCCCACTTCAACATGGAATGTCAGACCTGCTAGCCCCACAGGCCCTAGAATCTCCTCAACTTCCATTCTTCCATGCAAGGCAATAAAACCACTTCTATGCCACAGGAGCAAATATTATTATGACAAGGAGCACAGGAAGAGAATAATTAAGCAGTTAGAGTTATTTTTGTTGCTTTTGGAAATGGACCTAAATCAAAGTAATTAAGAACAGCAGTGACAGTCAGTTCTTTGAGAATAACTTCTAGCTAATACTTAGGCTATTGTAATATAAATCCATCACATTGGTCATAATCATTACCAATAGATATTTTAAGGGGGAAAAAGTATTTAAACTAAATTTAGGAGTATTTTGAGGGGTAAACATCATCATTGCATTTTGGGAGCCAAGAATGAGGGGTAAGGCAGTCTGTGCTGGCTGCCAACCCACAGAGCCAGGCTGAATGGCATTTGACCACCTCTATCAACCAGCCACCAAGTGATTCCCTCAGTATCTCATCCCCTTCTTTTTGGGCAGACACCTGCACTCAAGATGTTTTCTTTTAGCTCAGGGAACATCCTTTTGTCCAGGATGCAGGGACAAGAGTGCGCTGGGAAACAGGACACTGAAAGAGCAGTTTCACATGAAAAAAGAGCCTTGGGAAACGGTTTAGACAAATTGATCAGCCAAAACTGCAAACCCCAGTGCAGCTCATGGGCCAACAGAGTGAAATCTTGGCAAGTAACACAGAACCAACAGTGGGTTCGCCCCAAAAACATCTCACTGACAGCAAAACGCAAGAGGGATCAGAAGAGGATCAGCTATTAAAAGTCCAACTGGTCCTGAGCCTTTCAAATGTTGTATTTTGGCCTTTTTGACAGACATTGAGTATTACTGCACCATGAAAGCTCCATCAGAGCCACAGTTGTGCTATGACACATTGACCTGTTGGAGAGTCCAGAGCAGGCTACCAAGGTGATTAGAGAGACAGAGCAGCTCTGCTGTGAGGAAAGGCTAAGAGAATTAGGATTGTTCAGCCTGCAGAAGAGGAGGCTCTGGGGTGACCTAATTGTGGTCTTCCAGTACCTGAAGGGGTCTGAAGAAAGATGGAGAGACCATTGACAAGGGCCTGAAGGGACAGAACAAGGGGGAATGGCTTCACACTGCCACAGGGCAGGGATAGATGGGATATTGGGAAGGAATTCCTCCCTGTGAGGGTGGTGAGGTACTGGCACAGGTTGCCCAGAGCAACACTCCCTAGGAGTGTTCCAGGCCAGGTTGGATGGGGCTTGGAGCAACCTGGGCTAGTGGAAGGTGTCCCGGCCCATGGCAGGGGTGGAACAAGATTAACTTTTAGATCATTTCCAACCCAAAACATTCCATGATTCTAAGTTCTGCAGAGGTGCTTAAAATTCATTTCAAACAAGGCCTCGAAGGAGACCTTAGAGCCCCTTCAAATGCCTAAAGGGGCTCCAAGAGAGTTGGAGAGGGACTTTGGACAAGGTTTTTAACAAGATGAGCTTTAAGGTTCCTTCCAACCCAAACCATTCCATGATTCTATGATTAAGTCACTTGTCTGTTACTTCCTCTTGGTCTGCAAAAGCCAAATAGAGACAAGAAATGGATCCAAGGAATTGATTTGGTACTCACAGAGGGGCAGGGCTGCACAGCACAGTCTCTCATGCCACAGTGACTGTTGTCATCCCAAAAAGGACAAGGTTTCTTTAGGTTTACCTGCAAATAACATATCATCCTATTACACATTTCCCCCATGCAGCCAACCTTCCACGCCAGTTTGCCAACACACATCTCCAGTGCCTCAGTGCAAGGCTCAGACACCCAAACTGAGTGCAAGGCAGAGGGCAGTGAGAGTGGAGACTGAGGGTGCAATTGATCTTGCCTCCTCCCTGTTGGGAGGAGGATGTGCTGCAGGCTTGCTGCCATGTGCCTGTGGCCAGAACACAGGTTCTCTGCTGTCAGGTCATCTCTGTTCTGCATTTGTTTGCTCCCACACCAATTTCTTGCTGATCCAGACAGATAGTTACCACTCATGTCCTTGTTATCTGCAAAGGTTATCCTTTTAATCCTTGGTTTGCTCTTTCTTCTGATGCTTTCCCACACAGACATTTCCATCATTCCAAAATGATCAGAGGGCTGAAGCACCTCTGCTCTGGAGACAGTCTGGGAGAGCTGGGGGTGTTCAGCCTGGAGAAGAGAAAGCTCCAGGGACACCTTAGAGCCTCTTCCAGTGCCTAAAAGGGTTCCAGGAGAGCTGCAGAGGAACTTGGGACAAGGCCCTGGAGGGACAGGACAAGGGGGAATGGCTTCCCACTGCCAGAGGGCAGGGATACTGGGGAGAAATTCTTGGCTGTGAGGGTGGTGAGGCACTGACACAGGTTGCCCAGAGCAGCTGTGGCTGCTCCATCCTGGGAGTGTTCCAGGCCAGGTTGGATGGGGCTTGGAGCCCTGGACTGATGGAATATGTCCCTGCCCATGGCAGAGGATGGAAGATGAGCTTTAAGGTCCTTCCAATCCAATCTATTCTGGCATTCCATGCTAATGAGGATGGTCTGACAGCAGCAGCCATCAATGCACCTGAGTGTCTGGTAATCACAGCAGGTTTTCCATGTCAGTGGGGAGACACTGAATCCTCTCATTATGGATCACTGGTCATCAACATTTCTGAGTCACAGCTCACCAAGAAATCATTTCATTGTCTTCATTGTTTGCTGCTTAAGCTCTGAAGAGAAAAAAATGCCTAATACCTTAATATTCATCTTACAAGCATGTTGTGTCTTCAGATAGAAGAGTCCAACTTATTTACTGCATTCATAAGGATCAGGATTGAAATGTAGGTATCTGATTTTAAAAGCACAGAGAAGCTGTGGCTGCTCCATTCCTGGAGGTGTTCCAGGCCAGGCTGGATGGGCTTGGAGCACCCTGGGCTAGTGGAAGGTGTCCCTGCCCATGGAAGAGGGTGGAATGAGACAAGCTGTAAAGTCCTTCAACGGAAATTGAAAAATAAGGCATCAGCACACAAAATAAATGCAATTCTTGTACAAGAAAGTTACCTTGTAGTATCTGAAATAGTCACTTTGCAGGAGTTCATTCAGCCTAGGAAAAAGCTTGTAGTTGTTGAAGGCATCAATGGTTTCTACATCACATGTGCAGTCATCTAAGTGACCGGTAACCTGGGGAATAAACACAGAATACACCAAACAATCAAATATGCATAACTTAACCACCATTTAACACTGCAGACAATAAAAGCATTCCCAGTTTTCTTTCCTTTTCCCAGCAAGTCAACTAGTTAAGTTGAATCAGGATGGCTATCGCTACTATAACAGCTGTGAGCCACTGCCAGCTCGGGTTCCCATTCCAAAGGAGCCTCAGGAGATCATTCCTGTAGGGTAACATGCAGGTGAGAGCTGGAGTTTGCATAAGAGACCAGTTAGGCCACAATGGCACCAATGAGAGCCCTTAAAGAAAGTCCCTGTAGTTAATCAACTGTGCTGCAGCCATTGGCTTGATTTAATCAGAACCACAGACACCAAGCTGATTAGAGAGATGGAGCAGCTCTCCTACAAGGAAAGGCTGGGAGAGTTGGGATTGTTCAGTCTGGAGAGAAGAAGGCCTTGAGGTGACCTAATTGTGGCTTTCCAGTGCCTACAGGGAGCCGACAAGAATGCTGCAGAGGGACTTTGGACAAGGGCCTGGAGTGACAGGACAAGGGGGAATAGCTTCCCACTGCCAGAGAGCACTGGAATAAGTTGCCCAGGGAGCTGGTGGAGTCATCATCCCTGGAAATGCTTAAGGGGTGTCTGGACCTGGCACTGGAAGACATGTTTTAGGGGTTACAGCAGTGGCAGGTTAAGGGTTGGACTTGATGATCTTAGAGGTCTTCTCCAACCTTTATTCTATGATTATAGGGCAGGGTCAGATGGGCTACTGGGAAGGAATTCTTCCCTGTGAGGGTGCTGAAGCACTGGCACAGGTTGCCCAGAGCAGCTGTGGCTGCTCCATCCCACGGAATGTTCCAGGCCAGGTTGGATGGGGCTTGGAGCAACCTGGGTTGGTGGAAGGTGTCCCTGCCATGAGCTTTAACCATCCCATGATTCTATGACTAACTGCGACAGTTCCTCTCCTGGCCTCAGAGAGGCACTTGGCAAGAAAACATCTGTTCTAAATCTGATGGAGAAACCAATCCTTCTTGCATCATCCTGAACAACTCAACAGGCTTTGTGCAAGCCCTGAAAAAAAAAAAACCTTCAACCAAACAAGCTAAAAAGCAGCAGAAATTCAGCTGTGGCTTTCTGACATGTAGATTAGTGTCTGATGACAAAGCTGCACAACATGGGAGCAGTTTTGTTTCCCCCACACCCCTGATGAGTACACAGGGAAATCACAGAAGCACAGAATGGATGAAGTGGGAAAAGCCCTCTGAGATCACCGAGTCCAACCTTTCCCTCAGCACTGCCAAGGCCACCACATGTCCCCAAGTGCCACATCCACGTGGCTTTTCAATCCCTCCAGTGATGGTGACTCCAGTATTGCCCCAAGCAGCTCTGCCAATGTCTGACCACCCTTTCCATGAAGGAATTTTCCCTTTTAACCAATCTAAACCTTCCTTAGCACCATTTGAGGCCATTTCTTCTCATCATGTCCCTTGTTCCCTGGGAGCAGAGCCTGACCCCACCTGACTGCACCTCCTGCCAGGGAGCTGGAGAGAGTGAGAAGGTCCTCCTGAGTCTCCTTTTCTCCAGGTTGAGCCCCCACAGCTACCTCAGCTGTTCCTCATAATTCAGCAAGAGCTACACATCAACTTAAATAAAACCATTATCATTACCACTGTGGCAATGAAGCTCCAAGAAGGAAGGCAGAAATGGAGCACAGAGTCACATGAAATGGGGAGGTGGGGGAAAAAATAGCCAGAACTGCCTGCTCCACTGGAGCAACTCAGTTTTGTTGAGGCACCATGAGGCTCAGATCTATTTGCAGTTTACCTTGGAGCTCAGTGTGTCACCCTCACACATTGACTGAATTCTGTCCTGCATTTCACATGGTAATGAAGATTAACAGCACAACCACTAAGCTTTCCACTAGCCTGAATCAGCTCTGTAAAAATAAAACCAGTAGCAATTTGCTAATCCACTTACCCAATTTAAAGCTCCTTTAAAATTACATATCTATATATAAAAACACATCAAAACAACAAACCACAACCAACTACCTCTTATTTCCCGGAAACTTGGCATCCTTCAAGACAAGAAGCTTAAAGGTTGGGTCTAAAAGTGGCCTACAAAGAGATCTGTGGATAAATTAGCTGCTTCCTGTATCCATGCTTGACAAACATGGCACTCCTAGGGAATGACATCCCTGTAAGAGGCAGCATCAGAGCAAACACCAAGCCCTCAAGTGAAGCACCCTTTGGGCCAGGCTATGTCTAGTGAGCGATTCAAGCCAGAACCAAACTCCTCCTGAAAATAATCCAGGGTGTAGCACTGCAGATGATCCCAAAATACTTAGGATTAAAGTGAGGTCTCCAAATACCACTTTATGAAAGCACTGGTGGGATGATCAGCCTCAACGCCACCATGAACACATCTGTGGGGGCAATGGGCAAATTCTTCTCAGGAAGGACTTCCCCGTGCAAAGGGTTGTTAAGCATTGGAATGGGAGGTGGTAGAGTCACCACCCCTGGAGGAGTCCAAGGAACAACTGGATATGACACTCAGTGTTCTGCTCTAGTTGACATGGTGGTGTTAGAACATAGTTTGGACTCGATGGTCTTGGAGGACTTTTCCAACCTAAATGACTCCGTGATTCTGTGGAAATGCCAGGGAGGCCCCAGCTCTACTCAAGTCAGAAGGAAAACTCCTTCTTCCTCTAAGGATTTCAGTCAGACTGTGCAGAAATTTCCCCAGCCTGTGTGTGCCCAACCTACCAAAGTTCACAGCCAAAGCAGCAGAAAATTCAGCACCATGAACATCAAGAGCCGAAGCTCCTCAGAACCCCAGTGATGCCACCATCAAACAGCACAGACCCACTATAGCATACAAGGAAGTGGCAGGACTTGGTCTTCATCCCAGAAGTTCCCTCTTGCTCCATGCCCACCCCAAACCCCATTTTCAGCCCTGTGTTCATCCAGACTCACTTGGTTTGGACTTCAACTCCTGCTGCCAAAGCAGTTGAGCTATAACACTTGTCAAACATGCCCTCGTGGTGCTTCCCCAAAATATTTACCTCCATCTTCAGTCTGTGATAACTAGAACAGTTGTTTAAGACAAAGCATGATTGACCCAGTCCCAAACACATGCCATGTGCTTGCTGGCACCAGTGACTCACCAGCTGAGCAGTGCCCATGGGTTTCACTCCACCCAGCTGGGTGTGAGGGCCTGGCACAGGGCTGAGGGGCAGGGCTGGGTTTTCCTACTGGGAACAGATGCAACAGAGCCGCCGGGACAGACGCGGCACAAGCAGCTCCATGTGCTGAGTCAGCACTGAGGGAGGTGTGTGGCTGCTGCTCAATCCCTGAGCACCAACAGATCCACCTTGAGTGTGTAACACCAGCACAGGTGGACTCTCTAATCCTTGGGTTCGGCCTTCATCTTCCTCTACCTACATCCCAGGCTCCTGTGAGTCTGCTTTTCCCACCTCTTCCTGCTTCCCCCACTGTCCCCTGGACAGTGGATTTTGGGCTTCCTCCTAGCTCTGGGCTGTCCCACGTCACAGCTGGGCAGGAAAGGCAAACTCTTTCCTGCATCTCCCACTTGCAGCTACAGCAGGGCACAGGGAAGGGAATGCCACAGTGGGTAAGGAGTTGGGTTTAGCCTGTAGCAACTTCCCTGGAAGCTGCTCATCTCCTGAACAAACCACACCAGTCCCAGACTGAAGGTTAGCAGATCTTTCCCTGCTCCCTGAGAAGAAGTTTCCTGGCAGTTGTTCTGCTCACAGGAGTTGGAATTCAATGATCCTTGTGGGTCCCTTCCAGCTGAGGATATTCTGTGAGTCTATGAAATGATTGTGGCTTTCCCTGTGGCGCTCAGTCCAGACAGGTCTCCCTTTCATCCTTACCAGTGCACTTGGAGCATACTGCTGGCAGCCAGGAGAGGACAGTCATGCCCAGCACCTGTCCTGGAAGCAGTATATTCCAGCTCAGGTGCTTTCTCTCCCATATTCTGCCTGGGAAACAAGGATGGGGTTTCTGGAGCTCACACAGAAGCAAATCTCACATGGGAGCCTCAAGATGGGCTTAAACCACAGAAGCTGAAGTGCTGTCATGGAATCACAGAATGGTTTGGGTTGGAAGGACCTTAAAGACCATCCAGTCCCACCCCCTGCCATGGGCAGGGACACCTTTCACCAGCCCAGGTTGCTCCAAGCCCCATCCAACCTGGCCTGGAACACTCCCAGGGACGGAGCAAGCCACAGCTTCTCTGGGCAACCTGTGCCAGTGCCTCACCACCCTCACCGTCAAGAATTCCTTCTCAATATCCCATCTATCCCTGCCCTCTGGCAGTGGAAAGCCATTCCCCCTTGTCCTGTCACTCCAGGCCCTTGTCAGTAGTTTCTCTCCATCTTTCTTTTAGCTTCCTTCAGGTTGGAAGGCCACAATTAGGTCACCCCAGAGCCTTCTCTTCTCCAGACTGACCACCCCAAGCTCTCTCAGCCTTTCCTCATAGCAGAGGTTCTCCATCCCTCTAATCAACTTGGTGCCTCCTCTGGGCTCACTCCAGCAGGTCCATGTCCTTCCTACAATGAGGACCCTAGAGCTGGATGCAGCATTCCAGGTGGAGTCTCATCAGAGCAGAGCAGAGGGGCAGAATACACCTCCAAATATCTGCTTCTTTCCACCTGGAAGCTCCCTCTGAAGCCACTCCAGAGTTCAGGACCTAGGAATGAATTCCTGCCCTGAAGGCTGCTGGGTGAACACAACTCCACAAGAACACGAGAGCAGCCTGAAAGTCTGTCCAGGTACCAACAAGGTAACTCCATGCCTGGACTAAGCCCTAATGACAGTGTCCTGCCCACAGAAACATCCCTGAAGGGAACCAACCCTCTGCCAGACCGGAAAACTCATCAGAATTCCCATCTGCCAGACACCTGCAGCACATCTTAAAGCAGCTCCATCAGCCTGTAAACAGCAAATGAGCAATAATTACCAGGAATACAGAGGAGACATTCAGGGCTG